ACATGCAGGCACATTTGTGCACACGCATGCATGTGCATGCACGTGTGTTTACATGCAYGCAGGCACACGCATGCCACACGTATGCGCTTCCTGCCTGCCCGCGCTCCCCCGCCGAGCGGCTCTCGGCTGGTGCCGTCACTCGCCTCCGCTCAGGTGCCTCAGGTCACCGGCGCTGCCGGATAATCCCCGTTTCCGCGGCCGGTGACACGTCACCGAGCCCCTCCGCGGCCCTGATCCCTCCCGCGCGCTCCGCTCTGTGTCCCGCGCACGTGGCGAGGCCCCGGGGACCAGCACGATGCCCCCACCGATCGCCCGGGGCAGCAGTTAATCCTTTGGTTGCCCTTTGCACTGGAAAAATAAAATGCAAATAGCAAAATGTTGCGACAGCCTTGGGARGGTCGTTTTGCAAGAGCTGCTGGACGCTCTCGGCCGGGAACAAACCCTGGCCGGCGCCGGGAGCCCGTGGAGCTGGTCGGGTGGTCGAGCGGGTCCCGCCAGGGCCCATTAGACCCATTGCTTTCACCGACAGCCGCGAACGAAGCCCCTGCGGCGCCGCTGTCCCCAGGCGCCCCTGCTAAGAGCGTGTGACGGGGCAGGACGGCGGGATGTGCTCCCGGCTCCGGCGCCACGCGCTGCTCTGCCGTGGGGAGAAACCTCTGGCAGAGCAAGGGCCGTGCGGAGGGGATGGGATGGGATGGGACGGGATGGGATGGGATGTCCCACGGTGCCAGCGCCGCCGAGCAGGGCGCTCCCGGCAGCCCCCGGGTGCCCGTGCTCTCTGCCTGCGGCTACGGGAGCGTTTGCGGGGCCGCGTGGAGCGCGCGGGGCCGCGGCTGCGCTCGGCAGCAGCAACGTGCGGTCAGCAGAAAACTTGGAGAGGATGCAAAAAAAAAAGAGAGAAAAAAAACCCAGCAAAAGCAGCAAAAGGAAATAAAGATGGTATCACTCCTGCCCGGCCGCGCTGGGGGCTGGCGGCCACGACGAGTGCCAAGGGCTGCACCGGGTGCCGGGGTCAGCGCGGGCCCTGCTCCCCGTCACCATCCGGCTTCTCCTCCCGATAACCCAGAGCAGGGGGATGGACTGGCCAGAGTGGGGAGCAAAACAGGCACCTCCGGCCTCCCCGCGAGCCTCCCCCGGCATCCCGGTCCCTCCATCCGCTCCTCCCCGCCCCAAATTCCCAGCCTGCAGGTCAGGCGGGGGCAGCTCCAGCTGGGCGCAGGATATAAATCACCTTTCCTGCTGGGAGCCGCCCGGTAGGAATTCCCCGTCGGAAACGTGCTCAGGCGTTAAGGAAGCCCGGCCACACTGGCCCGTTTTGGTGCCCCGGGCACTCCCGGCGGAGCTGCCACCACTCCGTGCGGAGCATCCCCAGTGCCGAGCGCCACGGGCTCCACGGGCACCCCCGGCTCGGGTGCCGCTCGGATTAATCGGGRTGCGATGATGGACACGGATCCGCAGCCCAGCCTCGACAGCAGCGCCCCACGTTGCCGCCCGGCCACGGTGCCCGGCACGGCAAGTCCCCTGGCCTGCCCCATGCGCCCTGCTCGGACGAGACATCTCGGCCCTAAATCAAGCGCTAAGGCCCATCCCAAAGGAATGACGGGCAGTTCCCAGGAAGGCCACGCTGGTGCCGCTCCGCACGTGGAGCAGCTCCACATGGAGCAGCACCAGGGACAAGGAGGCACCTGCAGCTCGTTGCCCCCAGGGCCTCTCCCACATAAGGAGGCACCCAGGGCTGCCTTCCCTCTGGCTCCAGGTGCTGCTGATGTCCTGGGAATGCAGGTGAGGAGCAGCCCGCGGTGCCCCGGCCCCTCTCACGGGACACGTCCTGCCCATTGCTGCTCCTTGCAGGCTGCCCCCGTCCCCACGTTAGCATATTGCTTGTCGCAAGTTGCCATCAGATAGACTAATTTCAGCTCTTTCTGTACTGGATGTCTTGGACTAAGCTGGCATGGTACCTAATGAAGCTGAAGCTCCATTTGTTATGCTGGAAGCCCTAAATATCAGCTGTGCAATTGCTGCGACTTATTCTAGGAGATATTTCTGTGTTTTTTTCCCCTAATGGAAATGGAGAAAAAAAAAATCCCTGGGTTGTTGCTGGCTCTGGAGAGAGGAGGTTGGTGGGGAGGATGGGCAGGAGATGCAGGGRATGCTGCCTCCTCATCCCGATGCGACCAGGCTCCCCGCTTTCTGCTCTGCTTGCACGGAAAGTGGCATCCCATGGAGGGGATGGGCCGGGATGGGCTCGCGTGGGGCTGGGGATGTGAGCGGGTTGCAGGGAGCTCCGTGGGGAAGCGGCTCCCTGCGACCTGTTCCCTTTTTGTTGCCGTCTCTCCCTTCTTCCCGGCTCCCTGCGGGGGATCCCGGCTGCGCTGCCCCGTTGCCAGGGCCGGGCCGTGGTCCCGAGCCAGCAGCCGCGTTGCTGCGCGGAGCCGGGGCGCCCGCTTTGTGCCGCGCTCCGYGCTGCTGCCAAAGCTGCTGCTCTTCTTCCTCTCCTGCATTTCTGCAACTTGTTCCCTGGGTTTCCCAGGGCTCGGAGGCTGGAAGGAGCCTCAGGCTCCCAGGGCAGGCGTTGCATCCCTGTGCAATGTGCCCTATGGATCAGGGTGTCCCATAGGAACCTCCAGCCTCCCAGGGCCTCTGGCARTGCTAGTGCAGAGGTGACATCCTAAGGAATAATCCCTGGAGGTGGCCGAGCACGGATATCTGCTCCATCACCAGCAAAGGTCTGCTCCTCGATGGGCCCTGATTTAGCCCCTTGGACCAAATCTGAGCCCCGCTCAGCCAAGGCCGCTGGAAAGAGCCTGTTATGGCCTGGCCCTTAACCTGGGAGTCTGAGGGGCTCGGGAACGCTCCTGCCCTGCTCCCGGYGCCCTCCCAAGGAGGGCGCAGGAAGGGCCGTGCCGGCTCCTTGCCGCGGCTCCCGGCTGCGAGAAGGAGTCTCTCCCTGGATGTCCTCCTGGCTGCGGGGCCTCCCTGCCCTCCCTGTCGGGAGCACCAGCCGCTCTTCCCGGGGAGCTCCGGCGGCGCCGTCCGCTCGGCCTCGCCGCCCTCTCCCGCAGGGCCCTTAAGCTCTCACTCTGCTTGGCGGCTGTTTGCTCGGGGCGGCTCCAGGTCCCCGTCCTGCCATCGCCTCCAAATAGGCTTCCTTGGCATTCGGCGCTGAGCGGGAGAACAGCCCCGGCAGGCTGGAATGGTGCCGCTGTGCGGGAACAACCGGGAGAGCGGCGCTGTGGGAAGGGTGGCCGCATCCCACCGGGCCTCTGCTCCGGCCTGGGCGGGATACCGGGATTCGCTGCCTGCGTCTGTGGGGTTTCTGCAGCGCTCATCCCCTTGTCCCGGGGCTGGGGCTTCCCTCCCCAGGGCCGGGAGCGGAGCCCGTGACCGGCACAAGCGGCTCCTGGGAGCCCCTTCCCGGCCGCGGGCCGCAAAGGGGAGACGGAGCAGCGCTGCTGGTTCCTGGTTGTCTCCCTGGTTTCTGGTGGCTCCCTGCGCGCAGCGCGACGCTCGCTGCAACACGGGGTGCCGCGTGTGCCGGGCACGCGGCCGTGGGCTGGCGCTGTGCGGAGCGACGGTGCCAAGTCACTTGAGATCTCTCTGGTGCTCGCTCACAGGGAGCCCTAAATAGAGGTGACAGCGCCGGGGCGGGGAGGAGGGCAGCGGGGAGCCCAGCGCAGGGCCCGGGGCGCCGCGAGCCCGCGTCCGTCCGCGCCGCGCGCGGGGCCGGGGCTGCGCGGCGCTGCTGCCGTGCCCGGAGGGAGGCAGCGTCCCCCGGGAGCACCTCGGTGCAGGGATGCGGGTCACGTCCCCGCCGGGCGCCATCCTCGCTGTGTCCCCTCTGGGTGCTCGTGGAGCAGGCTGCGGCGGCGYGGGGGGCTGCCTGCGCACAGAGCGCCGTGTGTGTCCCCGTGCCACCCTCAGAGGCGCCTTTGTTCCCCCGGCGGAGACGCAGGGGACATCCCGGGGCTGCCCAAACCCGCGGGGGCCGCTGCCCAGGGCACATCTGCGGCGCGGGGGCCTCTCCGCCTGCCCCTTGCTGWGTGCCCGGGGCCGAGCTGGCCCGTCCCCCGTGTGCGGTGCTCCCGAGGGACCCCGGTGTGGGGGTCCCCACCCCGCTCCGTGCTCGGGGCGCAGAGCCCTGCGCTGCCGCAGAGCCTCCCGCGGTGCCACCCAGGCCGCGCGGCGCGGAAACCGCAGCCCACAGGAAACCTGCGGCCCAGGGGGGCGGCTGCGGCCCCAGCCTCCCTGCGGAGGCTCCGAACCCTCCTCCCCTTGGGCCCAGCCGCTTCCTGCTGTTCACCGGGATCCCTGGGGAGCAGGGAAGYGCCCGGGGGCATCGGCCACACCAGCAGCTGCTGCAAGTGGTGCAAAAATGCAGGATTTCTTGCGGGGGAGGGGGGGGCTTCCTGCACCCAAGAGACCCCAACCCAGCAAAGCCAGGAGCCGGGCTAGCAACTCCTCCAGCCCACCTTAAAAAAACCCAGTGTGCGGTGCAGCGGGCAGCCAAAATGACCTTAAAACCCAAGTTTTCAGGAGGCGCCGTGCCCTGGCCGGCTGCAGGCGCAGGGGAGCTCCCGGCGTGCGGGGGGGGTCCCGTCAGGGCCCGCCGAGGCGCTAGGCAACGGCACCGCGGCAGCGCCGCGCGCGGGGAGCCGCCACTGCGGCGGCACGGCCAAGGTGACGGTGCCGGCCTGCGCGCAAGGGCACGCGGGGCCGCGCCGCCCGCGGGCGCCGTGGGACGGGGCTCGGTGCCGCCGCGCTCGGTGCTGCCCCGGTGCCGTGCTCGGTGCCGCCGCGCTCGGTGGTGCCGCCGCAGCGGGCGCGCGCCCGGGCTGCTGCGTGTACGTGCCCTGCGCCGGCAGGCAGCGCGGGGGGGGCAGCCCGGCCCTCCTTCCTCATTTTGGGGCCGAGAAGGGCGATTTCCTTTTCCAGCCGCGTTTCAAAGCAGCCCGGAGCCACGCTCTGAAGACGCTCCTTTCTGCTTCCAGAGCGAGCGAGCGATGGAGCGGCGAGCCGCCGTGCCCGGACCTGCGCTCCTGCCCCTCACCTGCCTCCTGCTCGGCTCGCTGCATGGCTGGCCAGGTAAGCAATGGCTCCGGCCCGCTGACACGTTTGCCTGCGCTTCCCAGAAGGAATTTTTTCCCTTCCCCTCCTCCTCCCTTGGCGTGTGCCCGTTCTCCCTGCTGCCCCTCTGCTCCCYGCTGCTCGTGCCCTGCAGTTGCTGTCCCTATAGCCGTGTTTTCCACAGTGACCTTTGTGTAACGTGGCGGGGAAGGGGCAGCTCGGGCGGGCACGCGCTGCCCTGCGGCTCTGCTCTGCCGGGAAGCAGCTCGGCAGGGAAAGGTTCYCCTTGGCAGGCTGGCAGGGAACGGGGCAGGACGGGAGCAGGCATGCCGCTCGCAGCCCTGCGGGCAGCAGGGAGCCCTCCCGGTGAGACAGGGGAAGGCGGCACAGTGCTGCCTTCCTCCGCTCCCCTCTGGAGGGGTTTTTCCCCTCCTAAAATGCCTATTTTTGCCCCTCACTCTTGCCGTGCTACTCGACCACCAAGCCCCAAAGCCACGGGGTTTGCGCTGGCTCCGAGGACCCGTGGGCCACCTCGGTCCTGCTGGCCCCTCCGGGGCCAAAGCTCATTCCCAGGCTGGTGGCTCTTGTGGCCCTGCACGAGCAAAAGGGAAGGATCGAGGTTAATTCCTCTCCTTGGCTTGTTTCCCTTCCCTTGATRGGGGTGAGAAGTCCATTGACCTACCAGGAACTGAGCCTTTGGTGTCTGCTGCTTTCAAGGATGTTTCGCTTGAGCACTGGTAGTCCTGTGTGATTCTGCTAGGAAATCTTTCTCCTTCCTTCCGTGCTACCTGTGCCGAAGGGCAAGGCTTTTCTGGATAATGCTGTGGGCCAACAGCAATTTGAGYTTAGGAGTGTCCTGGCACCAGCAGTTTTGCCTAGTCTTTCCCAATCTTCCCCTTTCCAGATGGAACTCTYGTTAAATTAGACCTGGGCTGTGAATTTGCAATCCTAGACTCTCTTGTGCTGGTCTCTGGCTTCCCTAAGATCAACCCCAAGCCTGTCCTGGGACTTTGCCCGATTCCAGGCCCCGGAGCCCCGTTGTGCCCCGGCTCCCGCGCAGCCGGGAACGTTGCTACCAAATTGCGTGCGCTTCCCAGGCATCCCGCGCGGCGGGCGCAGGGAAGCCGCTGTCTGCGGGGCTCATCGGAAATGTTTACCGTCAAAGCTTTATTTCGACAGAGATTTGAGCCTGCCACTGCAAAAAAAAAAAAAAAAAAAAAAAAAAAACCTTGAGCAGAAAGCAAATGCTTTCAGCACAACACTCCTTCCTTTCCGAGTTGCTTGATCACAACTGAGAAGTGTTGGCCCCAAGCTGAAAACTCGGAGCTGCTGAAAGCCAAGAAGGCTTTGGCTGTGACTTCCAGCTTCCCAGTGAACCATTACAATTTCCTACCAGGGTTGAATAGCTAAAACAAAGCTGTTGTGTTTAAGCAAATGTGCTCCCAGAGTGAAGAACCTGGTTTTCAAGCCAGAGCCGTAGAGAAAGCCCGTCCTGGCTCCGTGGTGGGGCGAAGGCACTGGGATAGAGAGGTAATTTGTACTGATGTTTCAGACACTGCAGTGGGGCCTCTGGTCCAACTGTCTGCTCAACTCTGGAGGAGCTGGCAGAGCCTCGTGCTGCTCCGGCAGCCTTCCTGGGGAAGCAAGGGGCAAAGGGAAAACGCAGGGCGCTATTTTCCTGTGAGGTCAAGGAGGAGTGAAAACTTGGAAAGCCGCGTTGCAAAGTCCCCTTGCAGCGTCTGAGCCGGGAGCAGCGCTTCCATGGAGGCTTTTCCCAAATGAGGGGCTTCAGCCGCATCTCCTGGGGACTCCAAGGGGGAGGAAACCTGCTGGGTTTGGGGGCTTGGGCTTCAGAGCTGAATTTCTTTCGAATCAGAAGAAATCTTCTGATTTCTTCTAGAAAGAAAGCTCAAATTGTCTTTGTTTGATCTGATTCTTCCTCTGAGATGGGGTGTATAAAGTATGGTCTAAACTGCAGCCTCCCCAGGCCTGCCTGGCATCCGCAGAACGCGGCACAACTATCCCTGGATCTTTCCTTGAAGCTGCGGATTCCAGGCTCTTTTTATAGGCAGCACCTGTCATTTTCCTTAGTGGGGGGACCCTGCTGCAGGTGAAATCCCAGGCCCCGAACCCTGCAAATAATTTTGGGGCCGCTTTGCACATGGGGACGTTGAGCGAGCGGGTGACAGTGACGTGACTCCCAAATGCTCGTGGCCAGCTGCACACTTCCTCTTCAGCATGTGGCCCTCCCTTAGCAGCCCGAAAACTCCTTACCCAGCTACTTCTGAAGAAAAAAAAATCTATTTTTACCAGGAACTATTTCAGCCCTCTGCTGAATTAAACCTCAGCCTCTCGCAATCTGTTCGGTTTCAAATGCTTCAAAAGGTGCAATACAAGGAGGGGGGAAATGTGTTGCCGAGACGGAAAATTTCCCCCACTGTGGGAGCRTGGAGCGCTGTTTTGCTCTGAAATGAAGTGAAATAATGGGGTTTGGGGTGGGCGCTGCCTGCCGGGCCGCTCCTCGGGATGGGAATGCTGCAATGGGCGCCGCTTTTCCACGCCGCCTGCGGTGCCAGGGTGTCCATGGGCGGACGGACGCTCGCGTGGCGCCTCCCGGGCACCTGAACTCTTCTCGCTAATTCTTGAGTGCAGGATGGAGCAGATTAGAGGGTTAAGGCACCTCGGCGCCCCTTGATCTCGGTAGCAGAAGGACTGCGCTTTGTGAATGTCCCCTGAGAAAGAGGTTTCACCCCGTGAAGGCATCCAAAGGAGGGCATAGGAAGCAATTTCTTTACGTTAATGGTTTGCCGTGGAGCAGGCTGAGGTATGTGCTGTGATGGTGGCATGGAGCTCTCCCATGGCCAGCGCTGCGCACGTTATCCGCGTGGAAGCGCTGGGAATGCCGCCTGGAAAAGGGCTCGCCGTGGTACCGGTGCCTTGAAAAAGGGAAGGAGGAGAGACTTTGCGCAAGGCTGCGCAAGGGGAAGCTGCCACCGCCGCCGTGGGGCGAGGGGGAAGCTGGAGCGCGGCTGAGAACTTTGCATTTTCCGCCCTGCGCGTCGGGGTTTCGCGGCAGCTTCCCCTTCGCGCGTTCCCACCGCGGCGAGGAGGGGGCCGGGGAGCCCTTTGGGCTGGAATCGGCTCCCTTGGGTGGGGAGCAGGAGCTGAGCGGCTCGTGGGCGAAAGTCGCGGGGTTTCGGAGCCGCGGAGGAGGCTGGAGCTGCCCGGCACGGAGGCTGTGCCGCCCGCCTCCCGCCACGGTGGTTTCGTGCCTGCTCTCGAGGTGCTGGCAACGGGTAAAATGCAGGGCTGGCTATGAGAGATACAAAAAAAGTGTATATGTATGTGTATATATAATGCACTGCTGCCAGGGATGGCGGTGGTGCTGCTCGCCTCGGCCGCGCTCCGGCCCCGCTGCCCCCGCCGCGCCGCTCGCCGCCGCRTGAGCCTCCCGACAGATGGAGAGAGGGAGGATGAAGCGGCGGCGCTGGCGGCTCCGGCGCGCGCTCGGCTCCGGCGTGCGCTCGGCGAGCCCACGGTGCCGCCTGCCCGCCCGGTATGCTGGCTCCATGCCCACCCATGGAGATCTCTCCCTATGGCCTTGGCGCCCGCCATGGAGGCTYGGCCTCCGCCCGGGTGCAGGCCCCGTCGCCATGGCGACGCRCCAGGGTGGGCGCCGCCATGTTGGGTGCTGCCTGCGCCRCCATGTTGGCGCCCAAGGCCCCATGGCGAGCGAAGCGCCGGGCGGCAGCTCCGCCGGCCTCATGGGTGGGTAAATAATTAACAGCGAATTAACACTGCTCCTCTCGGGGAGGATGGTGGGCAGCGGGACGGGGCCGGCGCCCGAGCGGCTCTGCCACACACCCATGGCYGCTCGCGGGCCCCGTGCCAGGCAGCAAGCTGCACGGTGGAGGGGGCTGCAGGTAGTTCTGTGCTGTGGAAACTTCCCATCCGTGTTGCTCAACCCCGGTTTGCAGAAGCGCTACTGGTGACGGGCCCGGGCGCGGGAGCCCTTTGCCTTGGCCCTGCCGTCGCTGCTCGGGCACAAAACGGAGGCGCCAGCGTGGCACAGAGCAGGTTTCTGCCTCCGCGCCTCRTGCTCTGGGCTGGCGGCGCCAGCCTGGCCCGTTTGCCAATGGAGACGTCGGGCTCTGGGCATCGGGCTGTGGTTCAACACCCCGCGAAAGGGCTTAATCTGGGAAGCGTCGGGCTGTGCAGAGGATGAGACGCTGTGCATTAACACCCTGCAAAAAGGCTTAATCTGGGCAGCTTGGTGCCAGAGCAAATCTCGCCCTTTGGCCAGAGCAAGCGGTTGTTAATGCAGGTAACAAGTGCACTTGCAGAGGGATGAACTGAGGCTGAAAATCACAAGGGCTTAACAGCCTCCCTGTCTTCTCGAGCTCCTCGCGCCATCCCTGCAGTGGGAATTACACGTTGGGATACAGAGCTGCTCGGTTTTGCACCGGTGACGTGGCCSGTGTGCTGCCCGTCTGCCCAGAGCGTCGCCGCCGGCAGGACCTGGCTCGTGTTAGCGGCCGGGCGCCTCTTGCAGCGCTCCCGCTTCTCCCCCGCGCCTTAAAAACGCTCCCTTCAGCGGTGACAGGCCTTCAAATCTCCTCCAATTAAGCCGCACTAACTATACGGGTATGACAAGTGTTGCCAAAATTAATATATCAGGGAGCCGCGTGTAGGCTCCGGAGTGTCTGTCTGAGGCTGCGGCTGTTTTTAGGCCGCCTGGGAGGTGCCGCTGCTGACGATGGCGGTGGGCCGAGCCTGCCCGCTCCCTGCGGCAGCTCCCACCTGCGCGGGGAGAGCCCGGCCCTGCCGGCCGCGGCGGCGCCGCGGGCGCTTCTAGAGCCACGTCCGAGGAGCAAGCTGCAGCCCCGGCCCGGCGTGCTTTCCTGGAGAGCGCGGGCAGCGCGCCCCGCGTCAGTGCACACGCACAAAGGTGTTTGCAGGGCTGCCTGGCGGGCGCCCGCTCTGTTTTGCCTCGCGCTGCAAGGACGACACGGTCGGATGGATCCAGAAGCTGCCTTATTGAGACGCTTCAAAGAGAACAGGTTTCCTCTGTTGGAGACATGTAGGAAAATCTTTTGCCTGGCTGGTGCAGGTTTTAGATTGTATCTATGCTGTGGCAGAACCGGAATTTAATAGGAATTGGAGAGTAAGTGCAGCAAGTGTGGTATTGATTCCGTGTCTGTGAAGAGAGCTTCCTTTTAGGAGACTCCTGCGTTTTAAGCTCGTTTCCTCCTGACTGACCAAGATGGAYGGCCTGTAGTATGGGACAGAGCTGGCCCTGCCAGCAAGGCTCAGCAGCTGGCATCGGTGGATGATTTGGTTGTACAGGGTACCACAAAGCTTGGCTTGGTACTTGGGTTCCTGGTAATTGCCAAGGCTCTGCTAAGATCAGGGCCACAGCGCTCCTGCATTTGAGGAGTGTGTAACCTGAGTTTGGTTTTGCTCTAGGTGCCGGTGCCCAGGTCGGCGTGACCCTCCAGGTGCTGCAGCCCCAGGCCGAGGTGTCCGTGTCCGTCGGGAAGACGCTCACACTGMAGTGCACCGTGCTCGGAGACAAGATGGCAGGGCCCGTGAAGTGGCTGAAGGAATCGCGAGGAAAGAACGAGACCATTTACGACCWAAAAGGCTCYGGGCCCCGTGTGACGAGGSTGGTGGACAGCTCCGACACAAACTACGACATCAGCATCAGCGACATGCGAGTGGAGGACGCCGGGAGGTATTACTGCGTGAAGTTCAGGAAGGGAGACTACGAGGAYGAGGTGTTTTTGTCGGGCAGCGGCACGAAGGTGGTCSTGAACGGTGAGTGGAGCCCTGGGCGTTGGGCCGGAGCCGCGGCCGGGCGGGACCCTGGGGGCCCCTGGCAGGACCCCCGCCTGCCCCAGCGCCCGYCCAGCCCGCGCAGCCCCTTTGCCCGGGCACTGCGGGGCCGAGCACTGATCCCGTGGGCAAACGCCTCTCCCCACAGCCAGCCCCGTGGACGTGGTCGTGCACGGGCCCCGGGAGCGCGTGGAGCCGGGCACCTCGGYGCRCTTCACCTGCACGGCCAGAGGCTTCTTTCCCAGCGACATCCAGGTGCAGTGGCTCAAAAACGGGCACCAGTTGTCGGCGCTGCCAACCCAGGTCATCCTGGAGGAGACGAACTCGTCCTACGCCATGAGCAGCGCGGTGGAGATGAACCTGGTGCCCGCCGATGTCCGCACCCAGCTCAGCTGCCTGGTCAGGCACTCCACGCTGAGCACCGCGCTGCGCAGCACCTACAACGTGAGCAACAACCTGCGAGGTGAGGGCTGGGGRACGGAGCGGAGCCTCCCCCGGGGTCTCGGGGAGGACGGACACGGAGCCTCCCCTGGGGACATGGAGCCTCCCCGGGGGATCTCGTGGGGGGCCCGGGCGCGGAGCCTCCCCCGGGGGATCTCGTGGGGGGCCCGGGCGCGGAGCCGGGCTCGGGGGCCGGGCGCGGAGCCTCCTCCCCGCTGGCACACCGGGCAGGGGCCGCGCGGCGCCGGCGCGCGGGGCTCCAGGCGCCTCCTCTCGCAGTGCCCCCCGCGCTGCGCCTGCTCGCCAGGCCCGCGGGCGCCGTGGAGCTCAACAGGACCGTGAACTTCACGTGCTCCGCGGAGGGCTTCTACCCCGGCGCCCTGAACCTCACGTGGCTGGAGAACGGCGTGGAGGTGCTGGCGGAGGCCGGCGGCCCCGCGCTCACCGCCCAGGGCACGTTCGAGCTGCGCAGCAGCCTGGCCGTGCAGGCGGCAGCGGAGAGGAACCAGTCGGTGATCACCTGCMGCGTGGTGCACGACGCGCAGCGCCCCGTCAGCCGCAGCGTCACCCTGCTCGTCACCCTGCCGCCCGCCGAGCGGGGCCCTGCTGACCCGGCCGCTGACGGGAAGGGTGAGTGGGAGGCAGCGGCTGCGCTCCTGGGGCCACTCYGGAGCTGTAGGGCTGGCCCAGTCCAACCAAGGTGGCAGATTTAAGGCCCTGAATCCTGTGTCTGCATCAGGGTGGATCCTGCCAGGACCTGCATAGTCATCCCTAGAGGTCRAGGCATCGCTATCCGAAGGCCCCTTTCACAAACTGTTCTCCTATTGGGCTTGACTGGTGGCCTGGCACCATTACAGCGTTTTCCAGGTTTACCAGGATGGCTTCTATGAGCCCTGCTTGTCTCGGCTCCTATCCAGTCCTGCATGGCCCCAAATTAGGGAATGTCTCTCAGGACCTAACAGATAAAACCAAGGAGCTCTCTGTCCYGGGGACTGTGCTGCTCTTGAACCCCTTTATCCTGCCAGGAGGGGAGGGAAGCAGGGAGCTTTCTTCTTGCAGGCTCTACGTCGTGCTGGTACTAGCAGACCTACTGTAACCTCTGGTCTCATTCCCATTTCAGGATACTTGATTTTCATATACATCGCAGTCGGAGTGATGTGCACTGTGCTGGCGTTGCTGGTGGTTGCTGTTCTCTACCTCATCCGAGTGAAGCAGAGTAAAGGTAAGGAGGTCACGKGTGGAAAGAGCGCGGCTGCTTCCCACCTCTTTCTTCCTCTTGCGTGCCTGTAGTCTGACTCTCAAACTCCTGGCACTAGTGCAGCTCCCAGAGGAAGGGGAGGGCAGAATTGAACGGATTATTTGCACATTCCCTGGTGCTGCTGCGTTCCAGTTCCTGTGCCTTGCAGGAATTTGAAGCCTGAAACACTTGACTAGGCTCCCAACTCCAGGTTGACTGTGGCAGAACAGAGTCACATTCACACTCTTAAAGACTGTGACCTTCTCTGCCGCCGCCTGTTTTGTTCTGCCAGACCTGGTCTCTAAGTGTGCCCCAAATTGTGCTGCTGCTCCCAGCACCTAAAACATCTAACACCACCCTAGATGTCCTGCCCTCTGCCAGGAAAAGTTTCTGCAGGAATAAATTGAAATATCATCAAAATGCTTCTGGAAAAAAAGATCATCTGCTTTTGCATGGTCTTGTGYGTGGGTTGACACCCCCAGGGTAGCTGGGGTTTGCTTTGTTTCCTAAACTACTTCTCTTTTGGCAGGTAAAAGCTCCCCATCTGTTAGGTAAGTGGTGATTTCTATATTCCTCAAGTGGTTATCTGAGGGTACTGCGAGTTGAACATCTTCAGCCTGCAAAGAGGGACACTTTGGGGATTAGGACTGAGCAAGGAGCCCAGGGGTGTCACCGTGGGACCGCCTCCTTGGCAGCGGGACCTGCCTCCCAGGCAGCTCTGCCGGGCACTCGCTGCGYGGGGTCACTTGTGCTTGGACCAGGTCCCAGGTATGAGGAGAGGGTGTTTCCCCTTGGCCTGCAGAGCTRGGTCCCGAAAGCTTTGTGAAAGAGGTAGGAGCTCCTGGGGGCAGGAGCGTGTAGGGGACATCTCCCACTGGGAGACAGCAGCTCTGGGCCTGGCAGCTCCTCTCCTGGGAGGAGGTTCTGCAGCACCACTGAACTCAGCACAACCAGCAACATGGGCTCTCACACCCAGCGTTTAGCTTGGCGAGGCTCCACAAAGAGRTGGGAGTTGAGTCCCCAGCCTGCGGAAACGTGGCTGTAGGGCAGGAGGGCACCTGAGCTGCATGAGTGCTTTCCAGTGGGGACACATCCTGCTTGGCTGCGTGACACTGCTGGAAGGACTTTGTTTCCCATCTGGCCCAGTGCCCCAGCTGCTCTGTCCCCAGTAAAGGGGCACCAGGGCACCTCAGTGATCTGATTTGTTTTGTTTTCCCTCTCCAGGTTGCACGAGCCAGAGAAGAGTAGTGGGAYGGCTACCCAGGTATGTAGCTTAAGTCTTGGAACTGGGGAAGGGAGAAAAACCATGAAAATACCAGATACTGGAACAGGCCCCGGCAGTTCCCGTGTCAAACATTTAAATGGTCCTCAGCTGAAGTTGATAAGGAGAAAAACTACCCCTGGGGATGGGGATGCTACTTCCTAGCATCTTTTCTGCCTTTGCCCCTTCCCTTTTCTCTCCCAGGGAAGTCTGGGTTGAGTTGTGCCTAGAACCAGCTGTGCACTAGCCCAGGAAGCTATTTGTGGAGTTGTTTGCATTTGGTGACGCAGTGATGAGGCATGTCGTGATCAGCAGCAATCTGTCCATCCCCCTGCGTCTGCTGGCTGTGCTCGCTGGGCAGGCCACCCCTTCCTGACRGTGGTACCTCTGGCATCCCTAAGAGCACCCACAAGGGAACGGTGGGGAAAGCAGGGCTCTCCAGGGGCAACGAACTGCCACATCTGGGTGTCCTTGGAGCCTCGTCTGCTCAGGGGCACCTCAGAAATCCCGGCTAGTGGGGCACGTTAGCCCTAAATGAGCAGCCCTTGCCCCTGGACAGCGTGGTTTGCTGAGGGTGTAGCCCAGGGGAAGGTGCTGCTACTGGATCATTCCAGTCTGCTCCCGGTATCGCTCCCAGTTCACCAACCAAGCTGCCCCAGGCTGAGCTGATGTGGAATCAGCTCTCCCGACCGGTGGCTTGGGCTGGCGCGGGTGGCAGGGAGGAGGGAACTTCCATCCCTGCTTCCCTTATCCTGATAGAAGAGCGACTCGCGTTATCTCGCGCAGGAATCGGATGCCAACAACCTGACCTACGCAGACCTGAACTTCGACAAAGAGAAGAAGAGCATCCGGCGCATCATCGAGATGAGCCAGCAGTCCGAGTACGCCTGCATCCAGACGAGCCAGGCGCCTGCCCCCGACGACAACCTCACCTATGCCGACCTGGACATGGTCCATCTCAGCAAGGCGCCCAAGCGGCCGGCCCCGCGCCCCGAGGAGGCCGGCTCCGAGTATGCCAGCGTCCAGATCCAGAGGAAGTGAGCAGGGCTGCAGCTGGCCGGGGCTCGTGGGGACTGGTGACGTGCAGTGGGGGTGCTCCGCCTCGGGGAGCCGTCCCGCTGCTCCACGCGTGGATTTTGACACAGCACTGAGCACTAGGGAGGGTACGTTGAGCTGCGGTACCTGCGTTTGGGGAGCAAAGCTTCCCCGTGGAAGTGCTGCCCGCGGCACTGGGAGGCTCCGGCAGCCCCTGCAGCTGCGTCCTCGCCTGGGAGCCCTTTGCACAGAGCCGGACTTTGAACCGCCCTCGGCGGGCGMCTCGTCCCCGCGCGGCTGTGGAGGCCGCTCGGCCTCGGGGCGCGGGGTTTGACCGCAGGCGTGTGCAGCGGCCTGGAGCCCCTTTCCTGACCAAGGGCCATGTCTGCTGGAAGGAACAGAGCTCTCTGCAGCTTGAGGACCCTCGAGCCGGGCTGAGGGCACCTGGGCACCGCTCCAGAGCAGCCCCCGACGGCCAAGGGGGCCCTGTGGGACCCGAGCGCGGCAGAGGGCCCTGCGGAGGCTGTGGCTGCTGGGCCAGGCTGGCCGTGTTTCCCTCTAGTCACGTCGTCTCCAGCAGAGCCAGCTCTGCAGCGCTCCGGCCGCTCCGTGTGCGGAACACAGCAACAATGGCTTTAAAGGAAGGACAAAAGCGTCCACCCATCTATCTTCCGAAGTGTCTCTTCTGTGGGACCTCAGTCCCACCAGGGCCAACACCTCCCCTGGGCTGGGGAGACGTGAGCAAACTGCCCCTGTGCTGGCTCGCTGTCCCCCGGGGCCAGGGCCCATTCCTCCYGCTGCCAGCGCTGGGCCACACGGCACCCAGACATGGACTGCGGCTCGGGGCTCCGGACACAGCTTCCCTCTGGGAAGAGCCTTCCCTCAACGGAGCCTCCTGGGCTCGGAGCGAGAGCCCAGCCCTGCCAGCACCGGAGCCGGTGCCTTGAGGCCTCCTTGGAGCCACCGCCACGTCCCCTGCCGCCCTCGCGTTCACCGGGAGAGCAGGGGGCAACGGCAGGGAGCCCGGGAGCGAGGGCTTTCCCACAAATAACATATAACAAGTTTTGACTGTTTTACCTGTAACTGCTAATTTTTAGAGCTAAAACTGGTGTTTTGTGTTGTATGTGGGTGTACTGCTCTGTACTAGGATAAAATGTGCAAAAATAAGACCAAGGCCTCAGTAAAGACCCCCTGAACCCCGTGGAGTTTGGAGTGTTACAGAGCCCTCCCTGCCCTTGGCCACTGGTCCCTGCAGCTCCTGTGTCACCTGCTGCGTGTCCCTGGCCTGGCCTGKCCCTGCCTTGCTGGTGGGATGACGCTGCCACCTCCCTGTGCTGCCCGTGTGCCCCTCAGGTAGGATGTCACCCCTGGACACGCTTGTCCAGGGCACGGAGCAAGCCCTGGGGCCACTGTGGGCTGTGTCACTGCTTGTACACACCCAACTTGGGTTTTTTTTTTTTCCTTTCATTTTTGCTTGCAAGATATTTTTGTAATAAAAGTGGAAAGTCCGATGCTGCTCCTGTGCGTAGAGCATCCCTGCTGTGTGCTCAGGGCTGCCGCGTTGTCACCCCTGTGTTGTCCCTGTGCACAAGCTGCCCTGGCGCCTCCCGCACTGAGGGGGGTCGTGGGCGGCCCCRGGCACCCGCAGTGAGTGACGCTGCGGCCGGAGGCGTCACGGGCCTGGATGCAGCCGGTGCCACTGGCTTTGGCCCGTGGTGGAGGGCAGGGGGCAGCCCCTGCCCCCTTCCCGCTGTGCTCCCACTCCCTGGGGAGCCCAGTGCGTCCACGCTCTGCAGTGACCTCCGGGCCTTTCCCCACCGCTCCGGCCCGAGCAGGAGCYGGCAGCACCCCCAGGGCTGGGAATGCGGCCGGGTGCTTCCCGTAGTGCCAGGGCGGAAAGGGGAAGCTCCGAGGGGAACTCAAGCGGTGCCCGGCTCCGGCTGCTGTGACCGGGTCACGCCGTCCTTGGAGCCCGGCACGGACGGGGCCCTGCCGGCCGGGCCGCGTGTCCTGGGACAGAGCCGGGGACACCCACGGTCCCCAGCGCTGCTGCTCGGGGGTTGCAGACGGGGACCCCTGCGCACGCGGCCCCTGCTGCCGCGTCCCTCCTGCCGCCGTGCGCAGAGTGCCACCAAGCGCCGCCCGCGGGCCCTGCAGCGGGGACACCCACGGCCACCAAGGGCTGTCCACGGGCCCTGCAGCGGGGACACCCACAGCCACCAAGGGCTGTCCACGGGCCCTGCAGAGGGGACACCCACGGCCACCAAGGGCTGTCCACGGGCCCTGCAGCCAGGGACACCCACGGCCACCAAGGGCTGTCCACGGGCTCTGCAGCGGGGACACCCACGGCCACCAAGGGCTGTCCACAGGCCCTGCAGCGGGGACACCCGCAGCCCTGGCGCAGGTATCGCCCATGTGCTGCAGCACCCCCCACCCTCCTGCTGGCACCTCGTGGGGCTGCCATGGGTGCCATGGGCCGGTGCACACRCACTGACCACCCACACATGCACTCAGCACCCACACGCGCGCTCGCCACCCGCAGCTTCGTTGGCAGCTTCCTTTTATTCGCCGGGTGGGAGGGTGTGGGGGGGTGGGCGGCAGGGCTGGCCCCCCCTCGAGCCACTGCGAGGGGCCACGTCACTTGTCCTGGCGAGGGCAGCGGGACGGGGCGCTCGGACGGGCACGGGACGAGCCGGGGCAGCGGGAGGGCGGGATGCACTCGGCCCGGCACCGCGGTCCCGGCAGCAGCGGCTCCCGGGCTCCGCTGCCCGCTCCCGCACGGACACCGGGAGCCGCCGGCTGCAGGGGCCGCGTCCCGGCCCCGCGGTCTGTCCGTGCTGCAGTGGGAGCAGCCGGGGGCCGCGGGCGGCTGCGATCCCTGGGTCAGGCGGCGTCGGGGCTCTTTGGGGCGAGGCGGTGGCCCCGGGCTGAGCGCGGGACAGGGACGCAGAGGGTGACRCTGCCACCGGGCCCTATAGGTGGGCGAGCTCCCCCGGGGGGGCGCCGGGGTCCTCGTCCGCCCGCGCCGTCACCTTGAACTGCCGCCGCAGGAAGCCCCCGTAGCGCTTCTGATTGTCCCACTTGAGCTTGGGGCGGATGCGGCGCAGGAAGCCGCCGTAGCGCTTGTGCAGCTCCTGCGCCTCCGCCGAGGCCGCGCCGGCGGCGCCCGGGCCCTGCAGCGGCTCCCGCTCCGCCGCCTCCCGCTCCGCCGCCTCCGAGCCCTCGGCCAGCGCCAGCAGCGGCGCCAGCAGCGCCAGCGCCTTCCCGCAGGGCTCCCGGCACCGCAGCTGGCACATCTGCAAGGGAGCGCAGGGCTCGGCAGTGCTCGCGGGGCTGCCCGGCGCCTGCACCGGCTGCACGCTGCCCCGCGCCCTGCAGCA